ACGTGATTCATTCACGTGATGTTACTGAGTAGGATGAGCTCATGCGGGTCATTTCAGGACGCCGGTTCATCACATTAATGACAGATTTGAGTCACTTACCTAAACCAGTGTGAACCATCGTGTCAGAGAGATCGGATTTGAGCAAACAATCAGATTTGAGCAACGAGGCTTGTAATGTGAACGTAGCTATAATGTCCTAAATTATTTCCTTGTCCTGGAGGCTCTTGAGCTCTCAGGTTGCCATTTATCACAACTTAAATACGTTTCTGCAAAGTTTCAAAGGCATCAGTGATTAACGTCTCCAGCAGTTTGTTACTGATGTGGTGTTGTTTTAAACGCTGTAGTTTAGTTCTTTATTATAGTGGTTGAAATGCTCACCTTTGTCATGTTTTTTGACAGGGTCTGGCTGGAAACCATGGCGGCAATCTGGCAACCCTGGCTAGCCCAGTTATAGGTGATTGTGTGAGAAAAAGCGAGAGAACGAGTGGGCAGGCAGACTCATCTGTACAGTGGTTAACTCTGCAACCTTCGATTCCAGTCAGCAGCTAATGCACAGAAAACCAAACCCACAACCAAAACAGAGAGAGAGAGAGAGAGAGAGAGAGAGAGAGAGAGAGAGAGAGAGAAAAGAGTCGAATAGATGCTAATCATAGACGCTGATCATTGTGCTACATGCTAAAAGCGCTTTACCACACACTCTCCTCAACAATTAAAGATATCCAGTCATGTTTAGTGTCTGAAGTTTGCTTCTGCAGTTTTACACTGTAGCTATGAGGCTAATGTAGCTGACAAGTAAGATTTAGCCACTAGATTAGCATTCGCAAATGATTACACAGCCACCACAAACCACGTCCAGTTGTTCTCAAATGTGGTTTCTGACACTGTTTGACATTGTTATCTATAAAAATGGACAAAGCCACACACTTTTGTGGCTAAAAGCTTCCACTGTTTGTTAGCTACATTAGTCTCGTGGCTCCAGTGCAGAACTACAGCAAACTTCAGACACCAGACATGACTTGGCTGATAAAATACACTATATTTCACTCACCCATGCAAATCATTGAATTCAGGTGTTCCAATCACTTCCATGGCCACAGGTGTATAAAACCAAGCACCTAGGCCTGCAGACTGCTTCTACACACATTAGTGAAAGAAAGGGTCGCTCTCAGGAGCTCAGTGAACTCCAGCGTGGTACCGTGATAGGATGCCACCTGTGCAACAAGTCCAGTCGTGAAATTTCCTCACTACTAAATATTCCACAGTCAACTGTCAGTGGTATTATAACAAAGTGGAAGCGTTTGGGAACGACAGCAACTCAGCCACGAGGTGGTCGGCCACGTAAAATGACAGAGCGGGCGCATAGTGCGCAGAGGTCACCAACTTTCTGCAGAGTCAATTGCTACAGACCTCCAAACTTCATGTGGCCTGGCGTAAAGCGCCGCCACTGGACTCTAGAGCAGTGGAGATGTGTTCTCTGGAGTGACGAATCACGCTTCTCCATCTGGCTATCCGATGGACAAGTCTGGGTTTGGTGGTTGCCAGGAGACGGTACTTGTCTGACTGCACTGTGCCAAGTGTAAAGTTTGGTGGGGGGGATTATGGTGTGGGGGTGTTTTTCAGGAGTTGGGCTCGGCCCCTTAGTTCCAGTGAAAGGAGCTCTTAATGCTTCAGCACCAAGAGATTTTGGACAATTTCATGCTCCCAACTTTGTGGGAACAGTTTGAGGACGGCCCCTTCCTGTTCCAACATGACTGCGCACCAGTGCACAAAGCAAGGTCCATAAAGACATGGATGAGCGAGTTTGGTGTGGAAGAACTTGACTGGCCTGCACAGAGTCCTGACCTCAACCTGATAGAACACCTTTGGGATGAATTAGAGCGGAGACTGCGAGCCAGGCCTTCTCGTCCAACATCAGTGTCTGACCTCACAAATGCACTTCAGGAAGAATGGTCAAAAATTCCCATAAACACTCCTAAACCTTGTGGAAAGCCTTCCCAGAAGAGTTGAAGCTGTTATAGCTGCAAAGGGTGGGCCGACATCATATTAAACCCTATGGATTAAGAATGGGATGTCACTCAAGTTCATATGCGTGTGAAGGCAGACGAGCGAATACTTTTGGCAATATAGTGTACATGTGCACCATATCTGATCTCTGAAAGCTGTATTTGAGCCCATTGGTGCTTCAGAGAACAGATCCCTTTCACTTTTGTTTCATCACATTACTCCAAGTTTAATGCTCTGAAATGGTGGGGAAAGACAAAAAGTGGGGCAAACCACAGCCGCCACAAACCACGTCGAGTTCTTCTCAAATGGTTTCTGACACTGTATGACATTGTTATCTATAAAAATGGACAAAGTACGGACTAAAATCAGGTTTCAGAATGGCTGCTACACACTTTATGGCTAACAGCTTCCACTGCTTGTTAGCTACATTAGCCTTGTAGCTCAAGTGCAGAACTCCCAGATAGCAGACAGTTTTGGGCGATTCTGGCTTTCCTATGTGAGTACTGGTTGACTACCGGGTAGATGTTAGGTACGCAGACCAGAATAGGGCCAGATCCTGGACAGCTTCATCGTTTTGCCCCATGTCTACATTTGTGGGACAATTCTGGCGTGAATGTTTTGGACCAACAATGTAGTTGGGCCAGAATGGGTGTGTGGGTCAGATCTGGGCCGAGGACCCAGCTGTATACTGGGCCAGAACAAACCAAGTATGTGGCCCACAAGTGGGCCAGGCAAATTTTGCTAACTGGGCTGACTAAAAAGATTTGGGGTTGATCTGCTCTCTAACACAGAGTGAAGGTGAGAAGAAAAAGAACGAGAGGTAAGAGGGGTAAGAGGAATAGATGCGATCATGATGCTAAATGCTAAAGCTGCCACCACACGTTCGCCTCGTTAAGTGACGGTGTGATGAAAAAATCTAATTTAGTTTACTTCTTAACCCAAATGTAGTCAATCAACCAAGACATGCTCATTTCTTTAAGTTTGCACCGTAGCTACAAGGCTAATGTAGCTAACAAGCTTTAAGCCACTAAATGAGCTGCATTAACTGCATGCTTACATCACGAATTCACCTCAAACTGTGTCGAGATGTCCTCAACTGTGATTTCTGACACTGTGACATTCCGTAAGAGGGCTCCTTCTTGTAGCTAGCATAGTTACCCTATTATCGGCCGCCTCAAAACGAAAGAAGTATTATCTGCTAATCTGTAAAACTTTACACTCAGACAAATATCCTTCGCCAAATGCAAATGGGTCAATATCAATATTGATAATATCAATACCAATGCGCCTCTGGTGTCCCCGGGATAGACTCTATTTTATACCATCTTCTTTGATGTGGAAATGTGAATCTTCACATGTCTGAGGTGCTGCATGGTTCAACTGAAACACTCAAGTGGTTAAATAACAAATTCAAAAATTTACACATTTTCAAGTTTTAAAGAAGTTTGTTAATTAATCTGATTATTCATGTTGCCATTTTGATTAGTCATTCTCTCCCATTTTGTCCATCTTGCCATGACAGGGTGGACACAACTTGGTAGTTGTCATACGATGCTGGCTGGCCATTGCAAAATAAAAAGTGTTTAAGCTTGACACAGATGTTCTCTGGCTACTGTCGTATAACTATGGTGCAAAATTACTATTTTTTTGTTTGTTTTCAAGTTACGAGGTCCCAAAGAAACAGCATATATAACCCCAGTAGTGCAGTGTGTTTCTGCGGTTCCATACATGCAGAATTACACTGAGTGTGTTTACGTGCACTTAATAGTCCGATCATAATCGGATTTCTGCAGTTATCCGAGTATTCAAATTGTCATGTAAACACACTACTCTAATCTAGAAATCTGATTAAGAAATCAAATAAAGCTGGATTTTAGCTTAGTAATCCGATTTCTCAGTGCTGTAAACTCTTACTCTGATTTCTTTCAGATTTCTCAGTCTGAGCATGTGTGAAAACAGATGGCGGTAACGGAAATAAGCGAGCAGCGTCGCCGCGAGACGCAGCAAAACACTTTTGGAGTGACGCCGACACCAAATATGAAAAAAATTAAATATTCATCTTCTAGATGATGTTTGTTCATATTTTCAGTTAAAGTGGTGCGATGTTTTAAAAAAGCTGCGTCATGAAGTTTGAGTTTTACATTGTTTACATCACGTCTTTATTGGTTTATTGGCTGGTTGTAAAGCAGAAATCTGATTACTGTCTGACTCATGTAGACCTGGAGTTTCCCCATTATCTGATTACTCAAGTGCATGTAAACGTGTTGATCGGATTACTGACAAAATCTGATTTTCAGCAGTTATCGGATTATTGAGTTCATGTAAACACACTCACTGTTAGCGATACTTCAGTACTGTTTTCAGTGAATGCCCTTCTGAAGGGGGAGCTTAGTTTAACATTTTCTCACAGCAGTTGGCAAAGAGAGAGATGAGAAATACAATGTTAAAAAAGATGGTTCTCCAAGGGTTCTCCAAGGGAGAACCATCTTTTTTTATACACACAGTATGCAGAAGTGGCTGAAATTGTGTCGGGGGGGGAGGGGTGGTGTTACATACTTTTGAGGCTAAAAGCTTCCATTTCTTGTTGGCTATGTTAGCCTCATAGCTCCAGCGCTAAGGCTAAATAAGTAAACTTCAGACACCAAACGTGTCTTTGCAGACTAAGCACATTTGGAGTTGATCTGCACTCTAATACAGACGGAGAGAAAGAGAGGAGAGAGGTCAGCGGAACAAATGAGATCACAATGCTAAAAGCTACAGGTGCTTTACCACAGACTCTCCACCGGAGCCTCATATAGAACAGTGAGTTCAGCATAAACAGACAGGAAAAGAATTTTTTTTTCTCATAACACTACCGTCAACCCCAGCATGGAGGCCCAGTGTACTCAAAATGAATAAAGCTTATTTAACATGTCATGCTCTAACAGACTATTCCAAAATAAACTGCTTCATTTCTTGATTGATTGATTATTTATTGGTTTAATCAGCTCATTTTGAGTCATTCTGTCCTCCATATCCCACACCGAGTGCTTTTTAGTTCATCTCGTGTAGAACCGCCTCATCAGAAGCATCTCCAGAGGACACTTTAGTCATACAGAGACCAAGTGCAGCTTTTTCAGACCAGACAGACAAACTAACAAATACAAATCCACTACCACAAATCAGCCACCTGGCTAAAAAATAAACAAACCAATCAATTTTGCAAAGCAAAACAAATAAACAAACGAAAACATCAAATCAGACACTCAAGTACCATAAAAAGAGAAAGAAAGTAACACAGTGGTCAAATTTGAAGACCAAAACCAAACAAACTCGTTTGAGACTGTTGATCACAGGGTCTGGACACACATCCTGAAGCAAATTTAAATTAAAAAAGGGGCTTCTGGAACCCTATCAAACTAAATTTCCAGCAACATATCATCACTGTCATTTCAAATCCATCTCCATATCTTTTGCATCATTTTTATGATGAAAGTGCCCACAGAAACGGTCCAAAACTACTTTAAAAAAAAAATAAACTAATTTTATTAATGTACGTTAAAGTTGGGGTTTCTTTCCTTTTCCTGTCAAGCTCCCATTTCCACATATTTGAGGTTTTGTTATGACAGCGCTGATATGAATTATTAGACATTAGTAGTTCTGGGACAATGAAATATATTATTATATGTTGTCGGTATATTATAAAATATAAATAGAATATATTCAACGTTTTCAATACATTACTTTTTAGTATGGGCGGGATACCTGGCCCAAATATAGGTAATCTGGGGGCCCAAACTTAATGCGATAATCCACAAATCCAGCTTTAAATAACACATTTGGACCCTTTTCACATTCATAAGTTGATAAAACAATTTCGTTAAGCATATATTTTGATGTCAGTAGCTCATTTATACACACACACACACACACACACACACACACACACACAAACAAACATAGTGGACAAAACCCAATAACAAAGAAGTTCCAGTTTTAACGCTGTAGCTCAGCACAGACTGAAAGTGGCCTGGTTGGAGATCGAGGATGGAGGAACGAGAGCTGAGAACCATCAGAGCTCCAATTCGTTGTCCATATCAGCAAAGCTGGACGAACAAACCTTAAACACATTTTAAAGCGATAGTTCATCCAAAAATCAGATTTACGGTCTCCCCCTCTGGCTCGTCAGCCAAAGCATGTTTGGTTTCTGAAGTTTCTTTAGATTAGCACGGACTGAGGTAAATGTGGAATGAGGAATGCAGTGTGCAAGATGCCAATTGGTGGACTGGAAGCTTCCATTAAGATGAGTTCAAGTAAAATGAGTTTTAGGAAATATGGGTCAAAGGCCATGAATGACCGTCATTATTTCATTGTATATAATCAGCAACAGTTCATTTCTCTCATTTTAAAAAAGCAACAGCTGAAGTCTAAACAGTCCCAAAATATCCGACTACTTCACTTGCTAGCTACATTAGCTGAGTTGTATCCTCAAATAGACCTGCTCTTGTGGTTTCTGACAATGTAGGACACACTGGTCATCTATAAAAATGGACAAAAATACAGAAATGCATGATTCAACATGGTTGCTGCTACTGTTTTTAGCTACGTGATGCACTCACATGGCTAAAAGCTTCTGTTATTTGTTAGCTACATAGCTATTAGCTTCGTAGCTCCAGTGCAGAGACTAAGGACACCATACATGTCTTGGCTGAATGACCACATTTTTGGTGGGGGTGACCAGGAGAATCTGATTTTTGGTCAAACTATTGCTTTCAGGTGTGTATTAGTGTGACGCTTTCTTCATCCCCAAAGGAGAGTTCTGTCCACAGTAAAGTATCTCCTGAAGTGCGACGTGTTCAAACCGCCAGAGGGTTTGACTCCTGGAGTCCAGCAGATAGAAGAGGTATGAAGGTCCTGAGTCTTAAGGTTCTGCTCACACCGAGGCTGCTGGGTCTTCTCGTCTCCGTTGCTCCAGGTATGCGAGGTGTTTCCCTCAGCGCTTCAGTACAGGACTGGCCCGTTCCGGGTCTTTCTGAAGAGCGTGAAGAACCTGCACAAACAGGCAGAGTAGAAACTCATGAGAAAAGCGAATTCACCTTCACACAGCACGTTTACTATGTCACACACATGGTATGATCAGGGTAAACAGTCGACTCAGCACTTATGGGAAGGTTTAGCCACAAAAACTTGATGTGTTCACTATGTGAAGTTTGAAAGCATTGACAAATAGGCTAATTGTGGTCTGCAGAGTGATGGTTGCATCCGCAATGATGACGATAAGACCCAGTGCATTTAAAACGCTGTTACCTGTGCTTTCTTTCTAAGTAGGTTATTTTTGCTTTTGTGGGCATCACAATCTACATCAGGGGTGCTCAAATCCAGTCCTGGAGGTCTGGTGTTTCGCATAGTTTGGTGACTTACCTGCTCAAACACACCTGATTACACTCTGTTAATTGGCATGTTTAGTGTTTTTGTGTAGAGGAACTACCACACTGTGCTGGACGCCGGCCCTCGAGGACCAGAGTTGTGCACCCCTGATCTACCTGTACATACAAAGTATGTCCTGTGAAGAACTAACCAAATGTTCACTAAATACCAAAGCATTTCACCAAAGTTCTCCTCTTTCGATGTAAACTGGGCGGTCCTAATGTTGGATAACGCTTACACAAGTAGCATCCTCACCAATCACAAGGCTGTATATATATCCTGTATACACACCAATCAGGCATAACATTCTGACCACCTCCTTGTTTCTACACTCATTGTCCATTTTATCAGCTCCACTTACTATATAGGGTCACTTTGTAGTTCTACAGTTACAGACTGTAGTCCATCTGTTTCTCTGATACTTTGTTAGCCCCCTTTTACCCTGTTCTTCAGTGGTCAGGACCCCCATGGACCCTCACAGAGCAGGTACTATTTGGGTGGTGGATCATTCTCAGCACTGCAGTAACACTGATGTGGTGGTGGTGTGTTAGTGTGTGTTGTACTGGTCTGAGTGGATCAGACACAGCAGTGCTGCTGGAGTTTTTAAACACCTCAGTGTCACTGCTGGACTGAGAATAGTCCACCAACCTGTGGGCAGCGTCCTGTGCTTTTTTTACTTCCAGCAGTGCGCTCTCTCTCTCTCTCATATATATATATATATATATATATATATATATATATATATATATATATATATATATATATATTAATGAAGGCTTAAGCTGACCTTCTTAGAACTTGACAGCCTCAGCATGATAGAGAGAGAGTGAGAGCGAGAGAGATACAGATATAGCTCTCTGCATACCTGAGTCCACTTCCTGTTCCTGCAGCTCATGCTGATGGCTGCGATGGAGGAGAAGAGCGTGTGAGTGTTGATGTGTTCGGGGAGCCGTGTGAGGAACTGAGCGTTGTGGATGAAGTCCATGTGAGTGAGAACGTCCTCGTACAGCCGCAGGATTCCCAGAGCAGTGCGGAAAAGGAACTCCTCACCATCCCGACAAAACACGTCCCACACACGACACGCCACGTCCAGTGGGAGGGATTTACTGTACAGAGTGAAGATCCTGCACACGGCACAGAGAACAGCACAGTTAGAGAACACATACTGTACAGAGTGAAGATCCAACACAGAGTACTGAGAACAGCACAGTTAGAGAACACATACTGTACAGAGTGAAGATCCTACACACAGCACAGAGAACAGCACAGTTAGAGAACACATACTGTACAGAGTGAAGATCCAACACAGAGTACTGAGAACAGCACAGTTAGAGAACACATACTGTACAGAGTGAAGATCCGACATACAGCACAGAGAACAGCACAGTTAGAGAACACATACTGTACAGAGTGAAGATCCTACACACAGTACTGAGAACAGCACAGTTAGAGAACACATACTGTACACAGAGTGAAGATCCGACATACAGCACAGAGAACAGCACAGTTAGAGAACACATACTGTACAGAGTGAAGATCCTACACAGTACTGAGAACAGCACAGTTAGAGAACACACTGTACAGAGTGAAGATCCTACACAGTACTGAGAACAGCACAGTTAGAGAACACATACTGTACAGAGTGAAGATCCGACATACAGCACAGAGAACACATACTGTACAGAGTGAAGATCCTACACAATACTGAGAACAGCACAGTTAGAGAACACATACTGTACTGAGTGAAGATCCTACACAATACTGAGAACAGCACAGTTAGAGAACACATACTGTACAGAGTGAAGATCCTACACACAGCACAGAGAACAGCACAGTTAGAGAACACATACTGTACAGAGTGAAGATCCTACACACAGCACAGAGAACAGCACAGTTAGAGAACACATACTGTACAGAGTGAAGATCCTACATACAGCACAGAGAACAGCACAGTTAGAGAACACATACTGTACAGAGTGAAGATCCTACATACAGCACAGAGAACAGCACAGTTAGAGAACACATACTGTACAGAGTGAAGATCCTACATACAGCACAGAGAACAGCACAGTTAGAGAACACATACTGTACAGAGTGAAGATCCGACATACAGCACAGAGAACAGCACAGTTAGAGAACACATACTCTACAGAGTGAAGATCCTACACACAGTACTGAGAACAGCACAGTTAGAGAACACATACTGTACAGAGTGAAGATCCTACACACAGTACTGAGAACAGCACAGTTAGAGAACACATACTGTACAGAGTGAAGATCCTACACACAGCACAGAGAACAGCACAGTTAGAGAACACATACTGTACAGAGTGAAGATCCTACACACGGCACAGAGAACAGCACAGTTAGAGAACACATACTGTACAGAGTGAAGATCCTACACACAGCACAGAGAACAGCACAGTTAGAGAACACATACTGTACAGAGTGAAGATCCTACACACAGCACAGTGATAACACAGAGAACACACTGTACAGAGTAAAGATTGTACACATACAGCACAAAGAGCACAGTCAGAGAACACATCGTACAGCATGAGTAAGAGCAAAACTGTCATCCAACCTAATGAGACACTGTAACAAACACAAGCTCGGTTTACTGCTCGACGTGCCAGTATAAACACCCTGAAATCACCATGTGGGTATTTATTACAGTTCATCAAGGGAAAAACAGAAAACATACAGTTAAATAATATTAGTAATAATTAGTATTTGCAATTTTATAATTAGTAAAAAGAACCACAATCTATAACTGGAACCAAATTTAACAACTGAAATGAATTTCAAATATTTTTATTGCGCAAAACTGTATAATCGCTGCTGTCCGAACAAAACCTCATATCTTCTCATATCTCATAACTTTACAGGAGAAAGAAAAACATACTTTGCTTTTAATGGAAGTCAATGGAACCAGATTTTTGTTCAAGTAATTTTGGGCCATTTCTTTTGGTCCATTCATTGTGAAATTCATGGTAAAGGGCAAAAGACATTTTCAAATTATGTCAAAAACTGAAAAACGACAAAAAAGGAGACACAAGGTTTTGTTCCGACAGTAGCAACATACAGATAAACCTGTGGCGAGTACACATAAACAAGCAACTTTGCTGGCTCGGCAAAAACTGCGCTAAACGTTCACATCTGACCCGTCCCATTACATCTATGAGCATCAGACTCTGAGTTCAGTAAATATTACAGTCATTTATGTTAACAGTGGCAGTGCTTCTGAATGGGTTTCTTGGCTTGATTAAAGCACCAGGCTGCGAGACCACAGCGCTGTGTGTGGTGCAGCTACCTGATGGAGGCGCACCGCAGGCGGGGCTATAGGGCACGAAACGCTACGCTAAACCTAGGCTAAAGGCTACTGTTACCACAAAAGACCGGCGATTTGTTTTATATATTTTTTTTTTTTTAATGTCTGCTTTCTCATTTACAACCTGGACGAACATTGATTCAGACTGTACCTGACTACACAGCAGGAGATGAGTGATTACTGAAAGAAGCCTGACTAACGGTAAAGGGGCTTCTGTCTTAGACTGTTTGTATTGTTTGTTATTTGGCTGATTTGTGTTATACCAATAAAACTAATATCTTATGAAGAAATATAACCAGTACATCACTCACTAACTACTACTGCTTCATCTCGAAATACAGATGCGGTCATGAACATTTTTACTGCTGCTTGTAAACCCACACCGCCAACGTGTTGTTCCATCTATTGCACACAGGCAGGTGCCACATCAGCGATTACTTTGTGGTATTGGTATTCTCCATTACTGACACTGATACTGCGTTAAAGCGCCAGTACGGGTGATGATTCTGATACGGTATCAGTACAGGTACAACCCTAAATCAGTTAAAGAATGATTTTATGTTTAGCACGGCTGTAATTCTGCTTGTACGTGTATGTTTTGCTGTTCTCACAAAACAGTATGGAGACTTTTGCCAAATATCACTTATACTTCTATAATTCTAAACTTATTTTCAAAAATTGATGCAAATTTCATATGAAATTTAGAACATTTTCAAAACTCAATACAAATCTGACTGAATTTCATAGTCAGGGTCAGAAGTATCCCATCACTATAAACATTCATGCTCTGTTTTCTACAAAAACATTAGTCTAGCCCTAAAACTGAGATATGACAAACTTCTGCACAGCTTAATAAAGACAGCACTGTGCTGGCGCGCTCGAATACCGGATGTCAGCACCGTAACTGAAAAAAACACACAGAGGAGCGAATCATCTGTGCAGTATGTGTGTATTCTTTTTGTCTCATATCCTTTTTTAATCCTCTTTGTTCTTAAACATGGTTTCTTCATTCTCATACCTCAGATGCTCCAGAATTAGCTCTACGTCTCATTCACTAAATGACCCAGAGCTTTCAGAACTCTGTGACGTCGACAGCTAAAGACGTCTTTGATTCCACAGCGGCTTCCCCGACACGTAAAAACTGCAGTCCATTCAGAACATCTCTCAGTAGCTTACACACATCCTCCTTCAGTCTAAATATAAGTATACATTTCCCTGATGCAGGAAGAAGTAGTGGGAGTAACAAATATGTAAGTCATCAGTGTAGTAATAAAACTCTTTCAGCCACTGATACGTTTCGTTTGGGCTGCGTTACTCAGTGGTGTTACTCTGTAATAGAGAAAGTAATAGTAATTAGTAACAGTCAGTAATAGTCTTAGACCCCAGAGCACATTGTTTAAAGACTTTTATATATATATATATATATATCAGGCATAACATTCTGACCACCTCCTTGTTTCTACACTCATTGTCCATTTTATCAGCTCCACTTACTATATAGGTGCACTTTGTAGTTCTACAGTTACAGACTGTAGTCCATCTGTTTCTCTGCATACTTTTACCCTGTTCTTCAGTGGTCAGGACCCCCATGGACCCTCACAGAGCAGGTACTATTTGGGTGGTGGATCATTCTCAGCACTGCAGTAACACTGATGTGGTGGTGGTGGTGTGTTAGTGTGTGTTGTGCTGGTCTGAGTGGATCAGACACAGCAATGCTGCTGGAGTTTTTAAACACCTCAGTGTCACTGCTGGACTGAGAATAGTCCACCAGCCAAAAATATCCAGCCAACAGCGTCCTGTGGGCAGCGTCCTGTGGGCAGCGTCCTGTGGGCAGCGTCCTGTGACCACTGATGAGGGACTAGAGGATGACAAACACAGACTGTGCAGCAGCAGATGAGCTATCGTCTCTGACTTTACATCTACAAGGTGGACTGACAAGCTAGGAGTGTCTAATAGAGTGGACAGTGAGTGGACACAGTGTTTAAAAACTCCAGCAGCACTGCTGTGTCTGATCCACTCGTACCAGCACAACACACACTAACACATCTCCACCACGTCAGAGTTACTGCAGTGCTGAGGATGATCCACCACCCAAATAGTATCTGCTCTGTGAGGGTCCATGGGGGTCCTGACCACTGAAGAACAGGGTAAAAGTATGCAGAGAAACAGATGGACTACAGTCTGTAACTGTAGAACTACAAAGTGCACCTATATAGTAAGTGGAGCTGATAAAATGGACAATGAGCATAGAAACAAGGAGGTGGTCAGAATGTTATGTCTCATCGATGTGTGTGTGTATATATATATATATACACCTCATATCTCCATTTTTGACATTTTCCTTTTTTTGAGATAACTTGAAAAGCCCGTAGTCCTATATATTGTGTGTAAATTCTATGATAAATGGACCAACAGAAATTGCCTAAAATTACTTGGAAACAAGTCTGGTTCCATTGACTTGCATGAAAAGTAAAGTATGTTTTTTCCTTCTCCTGTAAAGTTACTATTTTGGAGATACGAGGTTTTGATCCAACAACAGCGATACATATACATATATATGAATACTTGGGTCATTTTATGAGTGCGACCTTGAGCTAATTCTGGAACATCTGAGGTATAAGAATGAAGTAACCACCCATGTTTAGCAACAAAGAGGATTCAAAAAGGGACATGACACAAAGAAAATCCACACATATTACATCCATGTTTCACTCGTCAGAGAAACATATATTTTGTGAGTTAGTTTGAAGAACAGTTTGAGTTGATTCTATGATTATTAAACTTTGATTATTAAATTTCATCAGGAACGCCTGATTTAATTTAATGAAGTACAGATTAGAATAGTGTATATGTATGTGTATATATATATATATATATATATATGTGTATATATATATATATATATATGTGTGTGTGTGTGTGTGTGCAGAAGTGTGTTCCCTGCAGAGGATGCATGAACTTACTCTCACTTAGAAAATCAATATGGAATTTTCCAGGGGTGTGTACACTTTTGCATATAGCTCCTCATGTCACATATACGGTGACTTGGAAACCGTTTCCATATATGGACTGTATGGACGGTAGGGAGTGAATGTTTGAAACTAACAGTGTTTACGATACAATAAACTTTATTTTTTAAAAAAACGAGGCAAATTCAGTTTGTTTTCCACTATATGGGCCTTTTAAATGTGCTTTATACAATAAATATATGTACTTGCTTAGTCAGCATGGCCTGGTCAAGCTCAGGTAAATAAATATCACACTCCTGCTTAAAAAGCCTGTAGCGTGTCTTTGCTCTCACACCTCCACACTCACACGTTCATTCTAAATATAAAAAGTGTGAATTTCCTGGTAAATAGTGAACGGTAGGTGAGGTTAGTGTGACTCGCAGGCAGCGCGCAGGCAGTTTCAGTACTAAAACACCCCGCTCCCCCTCCCCCCAACATACTAAACCTGCACCCGTTTAAAGGTTGTGTTAACCACATCAAGTGGGTGAGAAGCTTCCAAAAACCTCTCCGTAAACCTTTATCTCCGTCAGCACAAACCCAGCACTATATTATCAGCCCATCTGCGCCACAACAAAATAACTTCTTGAGGTTTACGGATAAATAAAGATAAATAAACAAAAATAAAATGTCTTTTTAAACATTACTCTCTATTCAAGCTTTGCAGATTTGGAAATACATGCAACTATACAGCTACATACACTCATCAGGCATAACATTCTGACCACCTCCTTGTTTCTACACTCATTGTCCATTTGATCAGCTCCACTTACTATATAGGTGCACTTTGTAGTTCTACAGTTACAGACTGTAGTCCATCTGTTTCTCTGCATACTTTTACCCTGTTCTTCAGTGGTCAGGACCCCCATGGACCCTCACAGAGCAGGTACTATTTGGGTGGTGGATCATTCTCAGCACTGCAGTAACACTGATGTGGTGGTGGTGGTGTGTTAGTGTGTGTTGTGCTGGTCTGAGTGGATCAGACACAGCAATGCTGCTGGAGTTTTTAAACACCTCAGTGTCACTGCTGGACTGAGAATAGTCCACCAGCCAAAAATATCCAGCCAACAGCGTCCTGTGGGCAGCGTCCTGTGGGCAGCGTCCTGTGGGCAGCGTCCTGTGACCACTGATGAGGGACTAGAGGATGACAAACACAGACTGTGCAGCAGCAGATGAGCTATCGTCTCTGACTTTACATCTACAAGGTGGACTGACAAGCTAGGAGTGTCTAATAGAGTGGACAGTGAGTGGACACAGTGTTTAAAAACTCCAGCAGCACTGCTGTGTCTGATCCACTCGTACCAGCACAACACACACTAACACATCTCCACCACGTCAGAGTTACTGCAGTGCTGAGGATGATCCACCACCCAAATAGTATCTGCTCTGTGAGGGTCCATGGGGGTCCTGACCACTGAAGAACAGGGTAAAAGTATGCAGAGAAACAGATGGACTACAGTCTGTAACTGTAGAACTACAAAGTGCACCTATATAGTAAGTGGAGCTGATAAAATGGACAATGAGTGTAGAAACAAGGAGGTGGTCAGAATGTTATGCCTGATCGGTGTATAAAATCAAAATATAGCGTCGCTAACCCCGAATTAACCGGGTTACAAATTTGCAGACGCCTCCCGAAGCTTTTCAAAGAGCCCGTTATCTGACTTCCTCATCTCCAAACCATCGACATATCAACACCACCATCTGAAAAACCTCATAAACCCCATTACAGGCAAACACAAGAATTTTTCAGTTGATAAAACCAAAATTTTTCTCTGATCTCTAAAACTTTTGATGCCTACGTAATGAGAATGAATGCAAGCCGTCTCTGCTAAACCTGCAGTGAAAACTCGATCTATTTAAAAGTATTTACACGCAAGATGATTCAGATACGTACCAGTCGATCAGATAAATATCAGGCGTCAAGTTGTTGCTCTTAAAATGTGCAAATAGCTTTGGTAGGTTTTCTTCAAAGAACACTTCAAATGCAGCAAAATATGTCAGCATCTGTGAAAAAGAAAGACCTTTTATTCACATGTTGAAATGCTTTTACTAAACTGACACTGATACAACATTAAAAAACGCTTAAGTCACTCCACATAATATAATGTTTTATACTGTTAACCGCATGTAAAGACAGTGGATGTTAATGCATTTTGATGCATTTGTTTATACAATGTTTGCAATTTTGCACATCAACATTGACAGACTACAAAAAACAAATTAATCAAAATGTACACAATTTTCCATTTACACCAGACACAGACGATCAGACAAGACAACAACGTTTAGTGCTCAAGTGTTGCTGCTTTAGTTTAGAGCTAGGCAGCCATTTTAGAAAACGTGTCTAAAAGTCCACTTTACATTCAAAACTGTTCACAATTTATGGTGCTTCTTTTTTTAAACACATATAATCAGTAAGAAAATTTAAGATTCAAATTCTGCAGAGTTAAACAGAGTCGTTCAGAGCGGTTTGGTGAGTCAGAATTATTCACAGTGGTGGTGATAGGAACCAGACGTCCACCTCTAAAAGCTCCCTCACAGGAAGTTATTACATGAAATGGTTATGAATTCACTGCCTGATGCCTGACACACTGTTTTAGTGATAGTTCTGAAAAGAGTTTGGTCTGAAACACATATTTTTAAAGTGTATTCATGGTGGAGGGATACATAATATGCAGGGCGTTATGAGGCAAAATAGTCCCCAAAGAAAACTTATTATTTCAGATTATCCACCATTTTCCATCATCATCATTCCATATAAACTCAATAGACTCGTGTAGGTTCACTGGTGGTTCTGGATAGTAAATAAAATGTCTATATCTGTGTTGTAGTCATGGTGACCCCTGGTTCCTATCACCACCACTGTAAAGACATCTGAACCATTTCACACCAGACCACTCTGAGTCTCTCTGTTTACCTCTCACACACTAAATTATGGGGGAATTTTGAAAAATCGATAGAATTATGTTCATAAGCCCACATGACATGCATGCATGAGAAGAGGAGTCTGAACTTTAGCACAGCACTTGTCTAAAGTAGCTGCCTGCAGTGCTCAGCTACAGAGTGAAGCACAGTTTATTTTTAAAGCTCACATTAAGTCACACTGTGTGCTAAACCACATCAGCAAGTCTGCACGACCTTAATGAAGACGTGGATGCAGTTTGGGCAGGTTGAGAGAAGTTTTGGGGATGCATTCAAGGAGTAAAAGATGTGGGTGACCACTGAATTCTAGTGTTGGTTAGCTACATTGACCTCATAGCTTCAGTTCTTAACTAAAGAAGCAAAACCTCCACCAAATAAGTCTTGACTGATTGACTACATCTGGGGTAAGTGTTTTTTTCATGTGTAATTGTGCACGTTTACACGACTAATAATAGCTGGCTTGTGCTCATTACATCCTTACAAGGCCCACTGCTACAATACTGAGGCTGGTATTGTGCGGTGGGTTAACACTGCTGTGCCCCCACATGGAAGACTGGGGAAGGGCTGGTGTGTTTTCCAACAAAGCAAGATCACACATGATACACTGACCATTTGCAAAGTGAACACTCAGGAAAAACTCTTCACAACAAACCTGCAGTGAGAACGGCGGTGGCAGTAAATCAGTCGGTATTATTAGAGTAAAAAAAGGTGCAAGGAACTATCCTTATCAACTTGAAGGTGGAGCTGTTTTTATTTAATTCCTGAAGCCAAAAAGGTTTTGGATTAAATTCTGTGGAAGACCAAACTCAGAGGTCAATCACAAAACTGTTAACAGACAGAGCTACACTGACTCTAAGGTGAGATACACTTAATCTGAGATACTGTATTTACTAAAAATCATTTTATATGATATCTAATGTTATACAACTGTTAGTTCTGGCCACGCAAGCTGACTGGTTGAGAAGCGTTCTACAACAAAATGGGCTGTAAGATGCTTTACAGACCGGCTGGAACAAAACAACATTAATATTGATCTAGCAAAAAAATGACAAAACTGAGCTAAACTTGATATTGCGGCTGTTTAATGGCTCAGTCTGATTTGGTCAGACTCTGAAGATCAGACTACACGTTTGGCGAATGGTATTCGGTTCATTTCTGGCTGATTCCAGGTTGTTTAGCTGTTCTTCTGTCACAGCTGCCGACTGAAAAGCTGCTCAGTGGTGACGACAGTTTGGGAATTTAGTGTAAGGAGCTGGAGAACGAACTGCCAGCTGTGCAGCGAGTGGGCGGAGCTCGTTACTCTGACGTAGCAACAAGCTGCTCGTTAAGGAACTATAATTTGGTGAAGGAACTGCGAACATTAAAACATATTAAACGCCGCGTTCACGGCCCAGTTTATTAATTTATTACTTTATTTATTTAACTGTTGTATTAAAGCAGTAGAACACTCGAGGAGTGTGTTATCGCCAATAACATCACGGCTGTGATGATCTACGGCGACCAAATCACAGCCATGATGTTATTTCAAGATAACAAACTCCCTCTCGTGTTCTGTTGCTTAAATAATGTTATAAAACAATGTTCAGATCAGTTTGCTGACTTGATTGACTTTTCTTAGCTTAACTACTTAAACACTTCAAAAGACTCAGATTTAACAGGACTGTACAGCACTCACATTAGTAATTAAACTTTAATACTAAATACCAAAAGCTTATTAGTAGGGCTGGGTATGGGCAAGAACCTGCCGATACCACAAGTATCATGATACAGGGGTTACAATTCACAATACTGTGATATATTGCAATACTGTAAGCAAGGTAATATATTGAGATTTTGGTCTAATTTTAGTATAAAAAAAACACACCATCGTTTGTATAAAATCTGAATAAAAGAACAATTTTACATTTTGTGCAATCAGAACAGCGGGAATCTGCACTTGCATTTATCACAGGCTGGGTTTCCATTGAAATGTTTTGCAAATGTTATGTGCATTTACAAAATTTCAGCGGAAAAAAATGCTAATTAAGTTGTTTTTCCATCCAATACAGTCAGGCAAAGAATCTTCAGATGACGTAGGCTACCATGATTAGGGGCTGCTTCGAAACGAGCAAGATGAAGAGATTTAACTCAGTTTTTGTTTTAAGTAGAATCATCTTTACAGTCACTTGCCATCTTTTATGGCCATGCGGGGCAGGATGACCAAATGCCCACCTAATGAGGGCTAAAATCTCTGCACCACCTCAACTTGCATCTGGAAACGCAAACGCACCAGACAGTTCTGGTGTCCGCTGAGCAGTCATTTTTCAAACAAGCTTTGGATTTGGCATTTCAGAATGTCAAAGACAACCTTCGAAAAGCTCTGCGGCACAATCAGACCATCTGATTCGTACGACTTACGGCTTGATATCATCATTTATTCGAAAAACTCTGTCCCATCACTCATTTTGGCTTTAGCTTAATTATAGCTCGTCCATCTCGTTCTAGTGTAAAACTCTTGTTTATTTGAATGTTGAGGTTTTTCCTTGCAGGCTTTTTTCGTGCATTTTCAAAATTTGGAAAAAGTGAAGGATGGAAAATCTGCTACATTCCTTGTAATAAGATGCTTGCAACATGATAGCACTACTTTTTGCGCAATCTAAACAAAATGGTGCTCCGACTTCGCTGGAATGAACATCTCAAGACACAACTAGCCCTTTGCGGATTGGATTTGGCACTGTTTCACGAAAATAATAATAGTGGTTAGTAATGACCTTTAGGGCCTCCACTTCAATACGAAAAGGGGATATTGGTAAATTCAATCTTTAAATAGCAGTGTGCCACTGTGTGATCTTTAGCATAAAAACCACCGTGAGGAACCACCATTCCGTTACAACTCAATTATAATAACAAACTAATACCGATGGAAAACCCACCTGCTCTCGTCCCACTATAACTGAGTAAGTGTTGGTTTAGTGGCCAACTCAGATGCAATCAGCGATAAGTACACTTTTATAGATTTGCTCAGAGCAAAAAAAAAACACCCACATCCTCCCACTTAGTCAGAGCAGAAACCGTGTAAAGGTGTGGAAGGAATTAAAGCTGAAGCATCTCTTCTACTTCTTCAAATATGTCTTCTAATGAACTCAAAACTCAACCAAATAACCTTCAAATGGCCTCTGATCACTGAGTAAAAAACAACGATTACCTCAATAACTTGATAACTCACTACACTCAGCTTTGTTATATGACACAGCAGAAATGTACCAAAATTCAAAATAACTTTATGTAACAATACAACTTGATATAATGCTTAATATAGGTTACAACTACTGTAGCTGTGAAGGTAAAACTATTCTAAAATGTTTAATTATGCGAAAGTACTGTGCAAAAGTCAGAAACCACTTTATTTCTTTAATTTCCATTAAAACAGCCAAGTTATTTCTAGTTTCCATTCCTTTCAGGAAACTCACATTCAGTTTTTCAAAGAAATACTGAAATAATACCGAAATATGAAGAGAGCCACGTTTTGTGAGAGGCGAAAATTAATTTTCAAAGAAATCTCCACTGATTGAATGATTTTTCCACACCTCCAAAGTTCAGTCTTAGAAGCTGGTTGATCATTTTCTGAAGTAATCAAACACATTCAGTGGTGTTGAGGTCTGGACTCTGGGGTGGTCAGTCCATTGTTCAGCTTCTTTGTTTGATGTGTCCGTCTCCTTTTCTCAGTGAGGTTCTTCTTGATCAGCTACACATCCTTTCAGACCCACAGCGCTGAGTCGTCTTCTCACAGTGGAAGGATGGACAGAAACACCTGTGGATGTTTTCAGATCTGAAGCAGCTTGATTTTCTCCTCTCTCTCAGAGATGAAAGCTTTAAGTGCTGTTTATCTGATGGGGGCAGTTTTGGGGTCTTCCAGGTCTTCCAGGTGGTTGTTAGGAGGCACATCTTCTCTGCAGCTTTTAATCAGTTTTGAACTCCAAACTTTAAGAGAGAGGCATGTTTGGTGAGCAACGAAATTTCATTTCTTGCATTTTTTTTTCTTCAGACGCTTTCAAAAGATGGCTGAATGAAGATTAACATGTAAATTATTTTTAGCAAACAAGACAACCAGGTTTCATTCAGTTTGTTTCTAAAATTGATGTAGAACACATTGAATTCTGTGGACTGTAACCGCCATGACAGCAAAGCGACCATCTACAACAGGCATGTCAAACTGGGAGACAGTCAAAGCGCTGTGGAGATCAGTGTTTACCCTCATTTACCACTCTGAATTCAGTTCATGAAGGTCTTGCTAATTAACTGATGAGCTGAATCAGATGTGTTTGATCAGGCAGAGTGCTGAAGTCTGTAGTGTTTTGGCCCACAAGAACTGAAGCCTGACACACGTGACCTACAAATTACACTGCAAATGGCAATCATCGGGGTCCAAGCACTATGTGCCATTATGGAGCCAGTAGATCACAAATGACAAAGTTTTTAGAAATGTTCTCCATTTATAATAGATACAGGTCTCAAAAGGAGATGTCTGCCGAATTTCACACATATTGATCTTTTGACTTTGTTATGGTAAAAAAAAAAAAAAAATAAATAAATAAATAAATAATTTTGCTCTTGTGTTCTTGCTTTGCTATCCGGTGTCAACCAGAGGAGGATGGGTTCCCCTTTTGAGTCGTGGTTCCTCTCAAGGTTTCTTCCTCTTGTTCTTAGGGAGTTTTTCTTGCCACTGTCACCACTGGCAACGCTCACGGGGGCTCGGACCGGGATTTTTCTGTAAAGCTGCTTTGCAACAACGCTGTTGTAAAAAGCGCTGTATAAATAAACCTTGACTTGACTTTTAACAAATCAATCAAAAATCACAGTACAATATTTAGACGTGACTTTGATATGCACAGTATTTGAAATCAATGAACAAATAATTATTCCACCAGAGCTACCATTGTATTATAGTGTTAGAGTGCACCAGAATGTCATGCTCAGATCACTAAAATTTTTTTACCAGGAAAAATTCTGCTGGACCCCACTGCTTATGCAAGTGGATTGTCTCAAAATCTCCTCAGAAAAATTAATAATTTGTACTTGGTGGCTGTTTTGACTGGAAATTAAATAAATGAAAGGTAGTCTCTGACTTTTTCACAGTACTGTACAGGATGAAACCCACAGTGTGATGCTATAATGCCCAGCCCTACTTAATGTGTATGTGCTGGGGAGACACTCACAAGGCTATGGTCCACCCTGTAGAAGGCCATCTGACAGGGTTTATTCAGCAGGTTGGCAAAAGCAATGAAGGCATCAGCAGTGTGCATGTTCAGGATCAGCACGGCCGCGATAAACGACATCCCCTGCACCTACACACAAAGAGGAGGAGGACAGAGCAGTTAGTCACTTCACCTGAAGCTAATTCATAACTGACATTATACACAATCTCAATAATTAAAAAAAAGAAAAAACTATAAATGTACATGCTAGTTAGAAAGAAACTGATCTGATAAAGACAGAAGAATTTGACTGTCAAAACACATTTATGACTGCATTAATAAAATACATTCTCAATACTTATCAACATTGCTGCTTATCATCACTGTCAGAACAAAACCTAGTCTCTAATTTCGAAAAAACCAGCAGTAAATTGGCAGCACTTTACCTGAACCCTGCTATACAGTGCTGTGAAAAAGTATTTGCCCCTCACACAATTTCTTCTATTTTTGCTAATTTATAACATGTAAATGTTTCAGATCATCCAACTAATTTAACATAAGATTAAAAACAACACGAGTGAACACTAAATGCAGCTTTTAAATGATTATTCCATTTATTGAAGATATAGATTTATTCAAAACTTCTATCACCCCTGTGAAAAAGTAACTGGTTGTGCCACCCTTAGCAGTAAAAACTGCAATCAAACGTTTGCAATAACATCGCTGTGGAGGAGTTTTGCCCACTCTTCTTTGCAAAACTGTTCTAATTTGGCTACACTGGAGGGGTTTCAAGCATGAACTGCCCTTTTATGGTCTTGCTACAGCATCACAATGGGACTCAAGTCAGGACTTTGACTTGGCCACTCCACAACCTTAATTTTGTTTCTTTTTGAGCAGCCCCAGATGATAACACTACCACCACCATGTTTTACTGTTGGTATGATGTTCTTACGAATGCGGTACTAGCTTTACGCCAGATGTAATGGGACCCATGTCTTCCAAAAAAGTTCCATGTTTAACTCATCAGTCCACAGAATATTATTCCAAAAGTCCAGGGAGTCTAGATGTTTTTAGTAAATGCAAAATGAGCCTTTTGTGATTTTTTTGGTCAGCAGTGGTTTGCGTCTTGCAGCTCTCCCAGGGTATGCCATTTCTGCCCAGAGTCTTTGTTTTGTGGAATTGTGTACATTGACCTTAACTGAGGCAAGTGAGGCCTTTTAGATGTTCGTCCGGGTTCTTTTGTGACCTCCTGGATGAGTCAGATTATTCACAGCACTGTATAACATTAACAGAACCATGCCATAAACATGTAATGGCTGATCTCATATGCTGTTGTGATGAGGACATGACAGATTATGCCCAGTAAGTGTCATGTTATCATTACTGTTATAGCAATGTCCCTAACGTTTGATGTAACATAAACTGTTTCATCATCACACATTTGAACCGGTCATGGCAATTTCTGGTAACAGTAACATGATGCGGTTATACTACTTAACAAAATCTCTCATGACAACTCATTATAGTATCTGCTATGACCAGTTTATGACATGGTTGTGTCAATGTTATGTAACAGCATTCAAGCTAACTCAAAACTTCACAATGAACGGAAACCAAAACTTGTTTTTAAGCCCAATTTTTTCATGTTACTTGCAAAATGCGCACAAAGCTGATGCAACCCTAACTTGTTTTGCACGAGTGTTTGGTTTTTGATGGTGGCTGAAGGTTTTGTCAAGGTTCTGCCTGCAAGTGTCATATCTGTTTAGAAGTAACACTATCTAGAAGGAAACGCTTAAAACCCACAGCAGCCACAGCGTTCGTATCTGTTTGTTTTTCTTCTGGGAAAAAACCCTCTGACCAGACCACAGGCGCCGAAAACAAACATGCACAGGCTGATCAGGCATGTTTAGCACCACTAATAGTTTCATTAGGGTGGTGGGTGACTGCAGGTCTGGAAGGTTACACCAGACGAGTTCTTCAGGTTTTTCAGAAATGAAGGGTGCATTTCTCGGCCACACTGAAGGATCCTTGGCCACACTGAAAGATCGGGATGGCCCTTCAGCGACACAAAGGCTGATAAAGGGCTTTGAGACGACCAATAGCCCAGAGTATGGTTACAAATCCATGCTCACGCATTTTGCTGTCATTCCCACTGCTGACTGAACCGTACTGAACCAGAGTACCCGGTTACCCTTCTTGAGCCCAGTCCTCAAAGTCCACACTTCATTAGCATGCAAACCTGTACACTCTTAAAACAGATGGTGCTTCAAGGGTTCTTTAGTAAAGAAAATGGCTCTATATAGAACTATGAACACTCAAAGAACACTTTGCATGATTAAAAGGTTCTTTGCTTATTCATGGTTCGACATAGACCCATTTTCTTAACTAAAGAACCCTTGAAGCACCATTTTTTAAAGGGTGTAGGGCAAGAGACCTCAAGGGTGCTCGGGTTAAGCATGTGCATTTGGGACATGAGCCATGCAGGATTCTAGGCTAACAAAAATGCAGCTTTAAGCTTAAACCTGCATGCACAGAGGTTTGTGCCGTGCAGTGTGTTTATGACTAAACTTGCATAAAAGGTTGAGGCTCGCCTGCGTAGCAATGCGGTTAAGCATGCTGTGTTTAGGCCGGAGAGGAAGGCTTATTTCTGTGGAAAGAATTGAGCTGCCATGGAACCAGAAAACTCACTTAACGTTAAATATTATTCAAATGTTGATGGTGAATCATGTTTCAGGCTGAGAATTACTGTAATATTAGTCAGTCATATATCCAACATGACTGTATAACAAATTCAGTAGCACAAAGAAAGCAGACAGAGGAGCATGATATCTGCCTGGGTCATCAGCTAACAGTTTAGCGTCACACTGTGTCCTAATACCAAGCGAGGCAAGTGAGGAACAACAAAACCAAAACACTTCAGGTATATTCAACAACACTGTTTACACCAGCTGTGAACGGCATAAGGCAATGCAGTGCGATGCAACACGCCATTTTTTGATGGTAGCTATTTGTGGTTGGTTTCTATTTTTGATGAGTCATGTTGCTCAGCAAACTTTCCGCCTGAAAATGGAAGAGGAAAAACTCGACTCATCCAGTAAACAGTTTTGTGAGAATTTTCCAGAGTGCTGGAGGCTAGAGGATATTTAGCTACTTAGCTACATAGACTTAGCAGATACAATTCAACTGATACAGCCGAGTGCTACAACTCTATTTTAACTGTTATTTAAACTACTGATGTTAAATGTGGGGATAAGACGTAACCTGCTACACATACTATTAAATCAATGTCCCAAAACCACAGCTGCACAGCTCCATCAGTACAGCAGCTATAACCTGATAAGTGGTTTGTTTACATTTTGACTTGCAGCACATGCCCGACATTTCCAGACATCCTGAAGGCTTTGCGATGTCATGTTGGCTTTTCAAGGGAAAAATCAGAATAAAGCAGTGTATTTTTTTAACTTCAGCTAGGCTATTTTTACACAGCAGGCAAAAGTGGCCCAAAATGATCTTTTTCTTTGTATGTGACATAGATAGTGTTATCTGTGTGGTGAACAGCAAAAAAAACATTTAATCTGACATTTTCAATTCCGATTTGAGACGCTTTCATATGTTGTACTGAAATCCGATCCGTATCCGATATGCGGCAATGTGACTCAGTCTGAACAGCCAGATCAGAATTCATGTGACTTTTACGTCAATCCAACTCGACATTTGTCATAATTTTGTGCTGCTGAGACTCAAACATTTAGGCTGATGTTTCTGTACAAAATTAGAAGAGATGTATCCAAAACCCAGTGTGGTCAAAGTGATTTCTAAAGAAATGTCCGATCGCGGCCGCAGGAGAACGAGGCTGCAGCGTCGAAGAACAGTTAAAAGTCTCAAAGCAAAGTTTAAAGAATCCCAGGACGCGTAGTAAAGAAGTGACCGCGCCCTTTTTACGGCTCCAACACATTCTGGGTGATGTGCCCAGCTGTCAGTCAGTGAAGCTTCAAGATGAAGCTGATCCTCCAGGGGGCGACTGGCGCTCGTTGGCAGTCGTGATTGTTTACCTCTGGATGAGCCGTGAAGCAGCGTGAAGCTCTGTTCTTTTATGCATGCGGGTCAGTTTAGGAGCTGATCTGTTCAGACTGATGTTGCATACAGATCACATTTAAAAGATAATGTGAACAGCCAAACAAAAAAAATCAGATTTGGTGAGAAAATCAGATTTGGGCCACTTTTACCTGCTGTGTGAACGGAGCCCTAGTTACTTCAGACTTCAGTCAAGTCTGAGGCACATTAAGGTTAGTAATGTTAGCAAATTAAAATAACATACAGCAGTACGACACTTCATGAATGAGAAGGCTGAGCTGTCAGTTCATTAAGTACACCTGCCTTGTAGCTCTCATTAACCATTTGTCTTGCACAACTAGAAAGTAAGTAGTAAGTAAAGTTTATTTATATAGCGCTTTTTACAACAGGTGTTGTCAAAAAGCAGCTTTACAAGGAAATCAGCATTACAGAAAGAAATCCGGATCTGAGCCCCCATGAGGTCGCCAGTGGTGACAGTGGCAAAGGAAAAACTCCCTAAGAGAGACAGGAAGAAACCTTGAGAGGAACCAAGACTCAGAAGAGGAACGCATCCTCCTCTGGTCGACACCGGATAGTAAACATTGTTAGTACAAAACGGGGAAAACAGGTGGAGCAATGATTAATTTGATTAGTTTAGTTTATGCAGCAGCAGCATCAGTGGAACTGCACCATGGAATAGGCGTTCGAATGGGGTCGACCTTTAATATTTAGGCCTACAGTTCAACACCGCCTGAGTCTCTCATTAGATTTTGACAGCGTCAGCTACTTTTGTTACACCAGCGTATCAGTCATGCTCATTTTTTTAACGCTCACCTGTAGGGTTGGCTTGAATACCATGTTTTAGGCTCTGGAGCTTCAGCAGTAGTTACTAATTTCACCCCACAGCAGACACCCGTGTTGAAAGCACATTCGCGGCTTCATCCGCTGTAAAATCCGAATCTCCAGGCCAGCTGATTTCCTCTCAGAGCACTGCGGTGCTCAGAGAGTGGCTTTGCTCCATCCACCAGGCCTGCTAACCTCTCTCAGTGGTGGGCTAGGGGGTAACAGCACACTGCATGCACAGGGTTAATCAGCACTTCACTGAGGTGGTCTAACTCGAGGTATGAAGGGCAACACTGCGGCCCTAGTAAGGGTCCAGTACGGGGGCCCTGCTTGCAACCACACTGGGAATACATGCTGTCTAGCATCACGTTAGCCTGACGTTCACTGCTGTGAGTGAGCAGGATGTCAGGCGCCCGAGCGGAAGTGGTTTATATTTAAACATTTTAACAGAACCTTTAAAAAGTATACGTTTAAGGATGTGCTAAAAACGGACTGTGGCATCACTGCGCTGTCAGTAGTTCATGTTTGTAAAGAGAAGAAATGTTTATGTTGGGCAGTTTTAGGACTTTTATGTTGAAGAGCCTGAATGCGGGTGGAATGGTGGGTTTTCTGGAGTAGAGCAGGGGGCTTAAGCTGTCTGTTATGTCTGAGGCTATGTCTGTTTTCAGCATCTGCAGCATCTAAGTTCCTCCCAAAAACCCAGAATGTTCTTATTTTGCAGTTGCCTTCATTGGTAGCCTAAATAATAACAATAAAAAATGAAAAGTTAACAAATATCCAAATCCCAAAATTAAAAACTGAACACCTGCCAAATGAACGAATATCTGAACAGTTAAATTTTGGGGTCCAGCCTTACTAACTTGCGTAATTCATCACCAACTGCATAATTCATCACAAAGAGAGCATAATTAAGCCTGTTTGAGTGGATTTAGTGCGGTGCAATTGGTGAAACGTTGGAAAATCACTGTATTCATTGTTTTTATAGTAATTTTTTTACATTAACATTACTGGTTCGTTTTCATTTGTTCCAGCTTATTAAAGTCAGTAAATACTAAATATTATAGTGCATATCGTATATTGTGAAAATGTCTTCAAGTAACACCAGCGTTACAGAATCATCACGCGGGGTCACTGCAGTCAGATGACCGTTATTTAAAAATAACACTTTCTATTAGACTCACTTTCTGTGAATCTCCCATGTAGCCAAACAGAGTAGAACACAGCCTGAAGCTGTACTATTCTGACCTACCTGGTGGAAAAATGGCATTAATGACACACTATTCTGATTAATGATCACTTTCTGAAAAACAGTGCATTAATTATAAACATATTGACTTTATTTCAGCTGCTTTGTGCACTGAATAAACAATTTCGAAGGAAACGCTTTAAACCCACAGCAGCCACAGCGCTCGTATCTGTCTGTTTACCTTCCGGAGGGAAAAAACCCTCTGAACACAAGAAACGCAGGCTTTTAGACCATAACATTTGCTCAGGCCACGTTTTTGTTTTCTCCCAATATGTTAAATTCAGTAAACAGACTTTTGCATATGACTGTAATAACTGCTGCATGTATTTTATTTCATATGCAGTGTGTTGGGTATGTGTTAAATTCATGCACTGTATTTATATAATGCTATATTTATGCTATATATTTTGTATTTCTATAATGCTTAATCATGCTCTGTATTTATATAATTCTACATGTATGCTACATGTATTTATATCATGTTACATTCATGCACTGCATTTATATAATGCTATATGTATTTATATATTATATTCATGTACTGCATATCTATATATATTGCTTTATGTAGGCTATATGTATTGTATTTATAATGCTATAGTCACACACTGTATTTATATATAATGCTATATGTATGCTACATGTATTGTATTTATGTTATTCATGCACTGTATTTATATAATGTTACATGTATGATATGTATTTAAATAATGTTTTATTTATGCATTGTATTTATATAATGTTAAGTTCATGTACTGTATTTATAGAATGTTTTATTTATGCATTGTTTTATTTAAATATCATTTTTCTATCAATTTAGTACTTAAAGAATAAAGATTGTAATTCTATGTCGTTTCTGTTTATTTGCTGCTGACATGATAAACAGTGTGTTGATGAAAGTAGCTCACAGGTGTCGTGACTCAGAAGGTCGGTATACAGGAAGTGCAGGGTGGGGGTCTGTAGCGTAGGACGAAGTCAGCAGAAACAAGTATTCAGACCCTTCTGTATTTTTTTTTTACATTTAAAATGAAGGTGAAGATGGTCTAGCTCAGTGGCCTCCTGGGTCCTGGAGAGCTCCCGTCCTGCAGGGTTTAGTTCCAACCTGTATCCAGTAAGATGGCCCACCCCCCCTTAGTGAACTCTAACACATCTGATCAGCCAATCAGGGACTGGGAAAGAGGCTGATTAGCTGGAGCAGGTGTGGCAGACTGTGGTTGGAACTACGCTCTGCAGAAAGGCAGATCTCCAGGACCAGGGCTGGAGACCACCGGGCTAGCCAATCTGAAATCTCCTAAATTAATTTATTTTGAAACAGTCCATCAGAGGGACCCTCGTAACCTTGTGGTCATTACCGACAGTTTGCAGAGAGGACTGGACCAAAACTGAACCACAATGCTGCAAAAAATCGTCTTATAGCTGAAACTGCAAACAGCAGCTCTGCACTAAAGTACTAGTCTTATTCATTTGTGGTGTCTGAAGACTTTTCTCTTTGTTAGTTTAATTTTTTAACCTCATCTTTAATTATGATTATGAATACATACTTTTTGTTCATATTTATAAATAACAATCAAAAGACACCATTACTGTCCATTACTCGTCGAGTTCAATCAAATCTGACTGTAAAGTGAGCGCTCTCACATTTCACCCACAGTTTCGTGATTCGTCAGTTTCACCTGTGGCGTGTGTTTATGGTCAGACTCATGTCTGGTAGGAGTGTGTAAACTAAACTGCGGTGCTATAATTTATCCACCTGAAAAAAGGCCTGATTTGGGATTAACTACACAAAACTATTACCATCATCTACAGCATCAATAATGAGAAGGAGAATGAAATTGACACACTGGTGTAAACAACTGCTGCTATTTCATTTCCAAATAAAGTCATCTTACACTGTGCTACTGTTTTATACAACAGGACAAAGCGCAGCACCAAAAAAACATATCAGGAGAAAAACCTCACACTGCCACTCACTTTTACACCCCCAACTCACTCTCACACACAGTACAGAGCATCTGCACACACACACACACACACACACACACACACACACACACACACACACACATTCTGAAAGCAGGTTCAGTTCCAAAACGTGATTCATTTCACCAAAATACACTGATTACTCAGAGCAGCACACAACACCAACTTACCACCTCTCTACACCTCTCTCTTTCACCGTTTCTCTCACTTTACCTTACTCTCTCTCCCCTATCTCTCTCTAGTAATGAGTCTCTGTATGACGTTAAACACACACAGTTACAGCAGATTTCCCTTCTAAGCTGTTCATCTGTTTGTGCCTCTGTCTGTATATGTTTGTGTCTGTCTGTATCTCTGTTTGTCTTTCTGTCTGTGTCTCTGTCTGTCTGTCTGTCCATGTTGGTGTAGTAAACACTAAAGTTAACATACGTATCCCACGTCTGGCCGGTAACACGTGTAAGCTCCCAGAATGCTGTGCAGCACATCATAATACGGGCCTCCCTGCAGAGTCAAATACAAATACAGCTGAAAATTACAACAATAAAAGACCAAAAAAACACCAGAAATACATTAAAGTATAATAACATTAATATTATTAATATTAGTACACTATTATTGTTATTATTGTTATTATTACTATTATTATTATTATTATTATTATTATATTATTATTATGTAGTATATGCAATACACCGTAGAACATCAAGAATGAAGTTCTAAATTATCATTATACCACAATTTTAAAAACTTAAAAACAGATTTAAGTGTAAAATGTTCGTTTTGTGTTTCGCCAAAGCCAGACAAACATTCACCTCCTGAAATATACAGAGGCTGGGGAACGTTCTGGAAATGTCCAGCTTTATCAGCTCTAGACTGGCCTCTCGATCAGCATGAGACGATCCTGCATCTGAAGAGCACAAAGTCAAGATAAATGAAGATAAATAAGGATCTATAAACATACAAAAACAGACAATAAGACACACCAGTAAATGACTCTGCAGAACAGTTAACAATATGAAAGATGAGTGATAATGCAAACATAGATAATCGTATCTCTGCTGTCGGACCAAAACCTCATATCTCCAAAATGACAACTTTACAGGAGAAGGAAAAAACCGTAATGTAAGTCAATGGAACCAGACCTTTTTCCTAGTAATTGGAAATCTGGGCCATTTATTTTGGTCCATTCATCTTGAAATTTACACACAATATGAAGGAGAGTAGGTATTTTCAAATTATGTAAAAACTGAAAAACGATCATGATTATGATGATTATGTAACATTATGATAGTGAGTCAATAACAGTAATAAGAGCATAACGATTCAAAAATGATATATACTGGCACTGCAAGTGGATACCAAATATAAATATCTGAAGAATATTGCAAATATATCTGCAGTACATCCAGCATGAGATAAATAAAAATAAAATGAGATATCTGGAGGACGGATATATAAAAAACAAGTAAACAAATGAATAAATCTATCTAGGGGTGACAATATAATAGAGAAAAAGTAAATAAGTAAATAAGCAAATAAACAAGCATACAGACAGACAGAGAGATAAAGAGGAGTAGACATAAAATCTGAATATCTGGCTTTACTGTCAGGTGAATAACGGCAGCAAAACTCAACCAACAATAAACCCAAACAGAAGAGACTGTATTTTATTCTTTTTTCCAGCCTTTTACAGCAGCTCTACCTGCGTTTAATGTTACTGATCCCACTGAAAACTAACTCGTCCACCATCTTTGGTAAAACTTGCAGCTAAAGCTCACAATGAATTCTTTACTCTTCTCTCCTCTCTGCAGTTAAAGGGTTAATTGTGGTTATTATTGTGGTTATTGACCCTAGTTTGGAGAATAAACTAGAACTAGAACAGCCACAGTTCTGTTTTTTAGTGCACAGTTACTGTTCATTTGCTGAATTTAACATATTGGGGGGGGTAGAAGATGTGGCCTGTGCAAAAGTTACAGCACGTGTGTTACTTTCTCTTATTTGTCCCCCCAATGTGTTAAACTCAGCAAATAACTAGAAATCGTGCAGTAAAATTTGCTGAAAAAATGACATTTAAGTGTGTTCTCTGTAGAGGATGTGCTTCACTTAGTAAATTAACAAAACAGGTCGTTTGGCCAGGGGTGTCCAAACTTTTAAATATGACTAGCTCTCTAGATTAGTCCAAAATCCTGTCATACTAATGCAGAGCTGCAGGCACTATCCATCCAGAAATAAGCTGGTTGCTGTTGTGGTGTAAAACTGATACAGCCAAAACAAACACACACACACACACACACACGCACACGCACACATACACACACACACACACACACACACACGCACACATACATACACACACACACACACAGTGGTGCTTCAAAGTTTGTGAGTCCTTTAGAATTTTTCATATTTCTGTAAAAATTTTACCTAAAACCTCATCAGATTTTCACACAAGTCTAAATAGTAAATAAAGAGAACCAAATTAAACAAATGAGACAAAAATATTAGACTTGGTCACTTATTTACTGAGGAAAATTATCCAATACTTCATATATATGAGTGGCAAAAGTATGTGAACCTTTGCTTTCAGTATCTGCTGTGGCCAGCTTGTGCAGCAATAACTGTCACTAAACCTTTCCGGTAGCTGTTGATGAGTCCTGCAGAACAGCTCGGTGGAGTTTTAGCCCCTCCGTACAAAACAGCTTTAGCTCTTATGTTGGTGGGTTTCCTCCATGAACTGCTGCTTCAGATCCTTCCACAACATTTCTACAGGATTACGGACTTTGACTCAGTCATTCCAAAACATTAACTTTACTCTTCTTTAACCACTCTTTGATAGACTGACTTGTGTGCTTAGGGTTGTTGTCTTGCTGCATTGTCCATGTTCTCTTGAGTTCCAGCTCATAGACAGATGTCCTGACATTTTCCTTTACAATTTGCTGGTATAATTCAGAGTTCATTGTTCCATCAGTAATGGCAAGCTGTCCTGGCCCAGATGCAGCAAAACAGGCCCAAACCATGATACTACCACCCCCATGTTTCACAGATAGGATAAGGTCTTTATGCTGGAATGCAGTGTTTTCCTTTCTCCAAACATTACGTTTCTCATTTAAACCAAAAAGAGCTATTTTGTCTCATCCATCCACAAAACATCGTTCCAACAGCCTTCTGGCTTGACCATGTGATCTTTAGCAAACTGCAGATAGGCAGCAATGTTCTTTTTGGAGAGCAGTGGCTTCTCCTTGCAACCCTGCCATGCAAACCATTGTTGTTCAGGGTTCTCCTGATGGTGTACTCAAGAACATTAACATTAGTCACTGTGAGACGGGCCTTTAGCTGCTTAGAAGCTACCCTGGGTTCCTCTGTGACCTCGCGGACTATTACACGCTGTTGCTCTTGGTGTGATCTTTGTTGGTTAACCACACCTTTGAAGCGTAACGATGGTCTTGAATTTCCTCCATTTGTACACAATCAGGACTGGTGCTTAATTTGGTTCTCTTTTATCTACTATTAGGACTTGTGTGAAAATCTAATGAAGTTTTAGGTTGAATTTATGCAGAAATATAGAACATTTTAAAGGGTTCACAAACTTTCAAGCACCACTGTACATACATAGGAGACAGTAAAACACAGTGATAACGGACAAATACCTCCAGTATCAGTGTCGGTGGTTGTGGATGGAGAAGGAAAAGCGTTCCATCTCTCCTTCGCTCTCGCCAAACAGATATCATACAGCTCTGGTTAAAATACACAAACATACACATAAATATACTAATAAAGATGATTTAATAATGATATGACCAGTAGAAGCTGGTCTGTTAGAAAAGGAGAATCAATAATATAGTGAGTGCAGTTCTGCTTTCACAGTGTTTTAGGACCTCTAGTGGTGAAGCAGATTACTGCAGTCAAAGAAAACCCAGATAACGAGCACTAAACACAAAGTGAGGATGAAACAAAAAACTATGGATTTCTAAACCGTTTTAACCCCCTAAATTCTGAGGGTCTGAACTGATACTTTAGTTTCACAGCAGATTGCAACTGTTTTGATATTAATTCTTTTACTGTTTGATTTTAGTAAATAATTGGATTTTTCTAAAATGTTAGTTTTCTAATTGCTTACTATCTAAGTTGGTTCTTTTACTCCATTTTAAATGTATTTTCATTCAAATATTTGATTGATATTTTATGCCCGTTTTCTATTTGAGCGTTCTTATTTTTTTATTATTATTATTTTTTTAAAATACAAATCTTTTTGTCTTGATTTTCATTTGTTTTAGTTGGTGAATTTCATTTTGGCTTTTTTAATCCTTTGTAATATGTTCGGCTACACTGTAAATAATGGTCACCCTTAATGCACTTCTGAGTTGAAATAAAGGTTGATTGGTTGATTGATACTGAATATTTCATAGTAGTTACTAAACAATTCTTAGCAGGTACTGAATAATTCATAATAGATAGTGAATAATTCATAGTAGATACTGAATAATTCATAATGGACAGTGAATAATTCATAGCAACTGCTGAATGACCCATAGTAGTTACTCAAAACTGCATTGCGGATCCTAAATAATTCAGAGTAAAGAATTAATAATTCATAGAAGTTACTGAACAATTCACAGTGGTTATAGTAGTAACAGTAGTAGAACACCCCATACTAGTTAATGAGTTATTTATACTAGTTACTGAATAATTCATAGTAGCTATTGAATAACTTCAGATAATTACTGAGTAATAGTAGATACTAATCACTTCATAGTGGTTAGTGAACTCATAGTAACTATGACCACATACCGTGTGTGATGTTGAGGTCGTTGCCGATGGCCAGACTCCACACTCGGCCTCTGACACTAGGGGGCACTCCCTGCCACCACAACTCCTTCACCCGCTTAGAGGAACACCTGCAGAGAGAGGGAGAGAGAGAGAGTCAAATGTCACTATGGACCAACACGAAAGGTTCAAAATGACTGAATGAATAAAATCTTTTTAAATTAATTTATTCTGAAGGGAAGCTTTTTCATTCCTCTGTACTTTTTTGGAGACACAAGGTTTTGCTTCAACAGTGACAGCATATAGGGGAATATTAAAAATAGGCACTTAAACACATAAGTATGGCATATATTACCACATATTAGCACTGACATATATGGTATATATGGGAAATATTAACAGTGTAATGAGAGTGCGTTTACATCGTGCTCCAGTTGGGCAGTATCTCCTGGCTCCAGGTGAGGGCAGCATTGCCGATGCTTTCCTCCTGCTTCACTCTGTCCTCCAACTGCTTCTTCCTCTTCTGAGCTTCTTTCAGCTCTGCACAGAGACAGGAAGTGGAACCTCAGTATATGATACCACAGTGATACGGGTCATTCTCCATTCAGAGGGGAAACCGTGCCACAAAGGTTTCAGGGCTTAATAAAGATGTTTAAAATATTAGGCACAGCTCCAAAACTCAGTGTGTACATTTACTGACCTAAGATTAAATAACACTTTTCCTTTATGATTCTCTGATTTTTCTTTTTTTGTCCTGTTTCATATTCGCTCTGCATCTGTAAAACAGCTCATCACAAAACCACTTCTCAACATCTGAGAATATAAAACAATATTTTATAAGAGGTTTAACTCAGGAATTTGTATAAAACAGATTGATGTTTACTTTTTATATGATTAATGTTATACTACATTTGAAAAATATAGATTTTATTTAAAAATTCATTTGACACAGAGATTTTGGTCACTGGTGTTATCAGGACTCTTGACATAGTATTTACAGCTCTATTAAACTTCTTTGGGTCGAGGCTCATCAGAAAGGAAGCATCTCAAGGCATGAGAAGGCGAGTCACACTCGCTATATTTCATTAATTAATTAATAATTTTGTTTATCAGGCAGCTCATAACTTCTGTCACCACTGTTATGTGCTTTAATAGCTGGGTAATTAAAATTTTGTCAAATATCATTTTTATTACTGTTTATAAATACACAAGGTCACCTGACCAACAACGAGTCAGCTGATTTACAGAATCCTCAGTTTTAACCAGAATGTCACTGGAGTCACCGTCACTGGTGTTACACCATATTCATACAACACCAGTGACTGTAAAATATGTTTGAATTAAGCTCCTTTCTGCATAGATGATAATAGGAGATGTTAATGGACACATTAAGATTATTTAGTTTTGGGATAAAAGAAACTGATTTTTTAAAAACGTTTCCACCTGAATTCCCACTCCAAATGGAGAATGACCCAAACCTAAGTGACTAAAACTGAGCTAAAGTGAATTTGTTGTTTTTGTGATGTTAAAGCAGGGGTTGCATTTACCCATATTCCCACTTATTCAGCCTTTAACAGTTTAGCCCCGCCCACTCACACTGATGTTATAAGGAGTGTTTCAGTCCACACCAGGGACGGGCGATACCGCTAATTTTCTTCTGATAGCAAGTGATACCAAGGCTAATGTTCCGATACCAACTCATAGTATTCGATTACGCCATTAAAACGCTCCATCACCATACTGGTAGATAAAAACATAAGCCATCGTATTCTAGTTGAGAAGTTTAATGCTTCACTACAGCGCCCCCCTGAGGCTGAGGGCCTGAGAGGAGGGAATGACCACTACCATGTGACTGAGTTGCACTTGTACACGCCTTGCTGAGACTGTCAAAATAAAATCTGTATACAGGGTGATTCAAAAAGATTCATCCGATTTCAAAGCTCCATATTTTTACAACCGTGAGGCGTCTAGGAACCAATCACAATCCAACTGAAAGAGGGGATCATAGAGTTTCTGACTGTCAGTATGGCAGTGAGCCTCCAACAGCTCAGAGCATTCGTCGTTGGTACCAACAGTTCCAAGAAAAAGGTCACCAGCATCACCAGATCTCACGCTGTGTGACTTTTTATGGGGGTACGTTAAGGTTTCTGTTTATGTGCCACTCCCAACAACACTGGATGATCTCCAAAATCGCACTGAAAGAGCCGTGAGTGCAGCGACACCCGACATGCTCAATCCAGTATGGGATGAGTTTGACTATGGCGTTGATGTTGTCTGTACAGCTGGAGGAGGTTCATACTGAGACCTTGTACAATTACATAATAAACTTTATGCTCATTTAAACCGTTTACAGTTTACTGCACTGATCTGTAATGATTTACAAGTGAAATGAATCATTTTGAAATCAGATGAATCTTTTTGAATCACCCTGAATTTTTTTAACTGAATGATGAAAATGCATATGTGAATGAAGAAAACACATTTAAAGCCTCTCAATGTGTTACAGGCCGATCAATTACTAACATTATCACAAACACTAGCTAGCAAACAGAGGGAAGGACCTGCCACTGCTGACCAAAACAAAACAACTGTTTATTTTAGCTTTAATTAGAATTGTATGGGTTTTTTTGAGGAGAATATTTTCAAACATCCGACAGCTCAGTGGTTCAGAATGAGGCGGCATGTTTACAAACTGTATAATGCTAGTGGGCAAATGCATGTTTTCGTATTTCTGAATAAAAAAATAAAAAAATAATTTAAAATTAAACACCTTTTTAAAACAAACATTTTTAAACACTTTTTTTAATTAAACCATACTTGATTATTTTGAAAAACAAGCTGTAACAGACAGTGCTCTGATGGAGCTACGATGGAACTCGTCTCGTCACTTAACAGCAATTTTTTGTGAATTTTAGCACAATTTCTATTTATTTGTATACATATTATATTTATCGCATTTAACATACTGGGAAGAACTAAAACAAAACATATATATGTATATATGTAAAATGTGCCATATCATTTCTACAGGCCACACTTTATTCATTAAACTTATTTATATTTTGTATTAAAGAAATGAAACTATATTTGATTATTTTGAAAAAGAAAGCTGTAACTGACTGAGCTTTGATGGAGCTCATCTAGTCATCTAGCTCATCTCGTCATCGTTGCTGCAGCACTTCACTTCAGCAGTGGATCAAGACCAAGCAAAACAGACCAGAACGACGGGTACGGGTACTTGAGCACTCAGCTAACTGTTCAAAGAGCCAGTACTCAAATACTGACATCACTATTTGGATTCACTGCTGTAAAACATTAGTTCTGTATTTGCTAGTAAGTCGTATTATACTTCACTCCTCTGAAGCTTGAGGGCCTGAACATGAGTAAGTTGCTAAGGACGTGTTGTTAAGAACATAAAGCAGGATTACAGCTACATATGTTAGGCTGATGTAAACATTAGTTGCAGAAAGAGTTACAATATATTTCTCTGATGAATTAACGTATTTGAACATCGTCCCACTGAAGAGGAAAAACCCCTGTAGAAGACAGTAAGTCTCTATCAGCATTGCATTTACATTAGATTTATGCCATTTGGCAGACACACTTATCAATTTGATCATTTTACACAGGTAGGTGAAGGTAGTGTTAGGAGTCTTGCCCAAGGACTCTTATTGGTATAGTGTAGGGTGTTTACCCAGGCAGGGACTGAAACTCAGTCTACAGTGTAGAAGGCAGAGGTGTTACCCACTACACTACACCAAACACCATCCAGTGTTGTACCGGTTAGCTGTAGTTTTAGCTAACTAGCTCATCTGAAGAGGCAGCCTTTGTTATGCTGCTCCTCCGACATGAAAACCTACAGATTTCTCTTGGCTGTTTCTGAATAACAGAGCATGCTTTCAAATGCGTTCCTATGCATGATACTACATTTCTGTGCACCATCAGTGCTGCCATCTGAAATGTGAGCATACAGCTCTGCACTGATTTCAGCCCAAATCCACTTTTCTTTTTTCACCGTTTTAGCTTTTCTACTCTGCGGTTGACAGTAGTGTCTGTTCATGACCTCTCACGGATAATGGATAATGTCCATTCCTAATACACTGCAGACATAACAGGACACGCACCCCTCTTCTTGGCCTGCGCGACCATCTCCTCATACTGCTGCTGGTGTTTCTCAGCCTCCTCTGCTGGCTTCGCTGGCAGGTTCCTGCAGGAGAGCAGAGAGAGACAGATTATCAGCAGAACCTTCAGGCTGCTGGTAAGGCAGCTTCACCATTCACTCACAGTAGCGCTAGCAGGAGTGACTGATTACCAACAGGGGCAAGTTGGAGGACCCAGCCCTCCACCCCTTTTAGCATGCAGAGCTAAAAGGTTCTTGAGACATTTTTGAACTGGTGGGAAAAAGAATTTCTCCTCTGTGACACACAATGTAATACAGTGGTTTTACACCTGTGGGATGTGGCCCCCCAGTGGACAATGGCGGTACTGCAAGGAGGTCACTGGGAATCTTTTTATTTTTTTAAATACCAAAAATACAATAAATAAATTACAAAATTTAATTTTAGCAGCCATATGCAGACGTTTGAGCATCCCCAGTCAAACATGTTTTGTTGATTTTTTTTATTTTAACATTCCTCTACAAAGATCACACATAATGCGTTATAGGACACTGCTGACCAAAACAAAAACAACTGTTTATTTTAGCTTTAATTAGAATTGTATGGTTTATTTTTTTTTGGGAGGGGGGTATTTTCAAACTTCCAACCAGTTTTAGCAGCTCAATCATTCAGAACGAGGCAATGTTTACTTTATAAACAACAGGCAAACACAACTTTTCATGTGTTACATAAAAACAAACAAATAAACAAATAAAATATTTAAATATTAAAATACATTTAATTATTTCAACAAACAAGTAAGAGGAAAACTCTAATACGTCCTCTGATGCCATCTTAAAGCCCTACGTCTTAGGACTGTCCAAATTAGATTTTGTTGGTGAACTCACGCTGGGCGGTGCTCCAGTATGAGTGCTGTAGTGGAGAGCGGCTCGAACTCCAGGTTCTTCCTCACACTCTGTCTGGGAGATGGAGAATCACCGGCCTGAGCACCTCTTTCATTTTCCTGAGAGAGAGAGAGAGAGAGAGAGAGAGAGAGAGGAGAGAGAGAGACATAAACAGCTTGTTAGATTAAAATTGAGCCCGATTTCCACTTTAAACTCAAACTGACCCTAACAAACCTCCCTTACTGTATTACAGCAGAACTCCTTCTGCAGCATAATACTCACCTGTACAATGTTTATTTTTACAAATGGTCATATAATTCTGTAATATTCCGTATGTCGCTGTGGAACAAAACATGTGGTCCATTCATCATGAAAGTCACACACAATGTAAAAGACAGCAGGCATTTTCAAATTATGTCAAAAATCGAAAAACGACGAAGGTTTTGTTCCGACAGCAGCGATATAATAGTTATATGTCTATTCAGACCTTCATATGTATAGATGTTTAAATGTGCTTATGCAGATAAGAACATCTCTTTAGCTTGTATCACATGGCTCTTCATTATTATTCTATCTATTGTACAACCCCATTTCCAAAAAAGTTGGGACGCTGTGCAGAATGTAAATAAGATGTGCTGGTCAAATGAGCTCAGGCCCAGAGAAGGTGGCAGCATTTCTGGATCCTGTTTATATATGATTTCTTGTTTGCAAGTTTTGTTGAGTTTTAACTTGCATTTGTGGATGCAGTGATGAACCGTTTTCACAGACAGTGGTTTTCAGAAGTGTTTCTGAGTCCATGCAGTGATTTCCACTACAGAATCATGTCTGTTTTTAATGCAGTGCCGTCTGAGGGCCCAAAGATCACGGCCAGCAAATACTGGTTTTCGGCCTTGACCCTTACATACAGAGATTTCTCCTTTTAAATGTTATTATGTACTGAAGATGACGAAAAGTTCTTTGCAATTTTATGTTGAGAAACGTTACTCTTGAATTGTTGCATTATTTGATGGTGCAGTCTTTCACAGAGTGGTGAACCCCTCCTCATCTTTACTTCTGAAAGACTCAGCCTGTCTGAGATGCTCTTTTTATACCCAGTCATGTTACTGACCTGTTGCCAATCAACCACCAGGTGTTTTTTTAGCATTACACAACTTTACCAGCCTTTTGTTGCCCCATTCCAACTTTTTTGGAACGTGTTGTTGGCATCAAATTCAAAATGGGCAAATATTTTTCAAAAATCAATAAAATTTCTCAGTTTCAACATTTGTCATGTTGTCTTTGTACTGTTCTCAATGGAATATAGGGTTTAAATGATTTGCACATTGCATTTTGTTTTTATTTACATTTTGCACAGCATCCTAACTTTTTATGGGGTTTTATTTTTATTTTATCCTTTAGAGTAATACTGGTTACAGGCCTGTGTGCTTGTCTTGTCTGTTCAGTGTGTACGTGTGACTAACCAAGACTAACTCCTCACATGTGTAACGTACTTGGTGAAATAAAGTGATTCTGATTGTGATATAAGTATAATTAGTTATACAGCATCACACAGCGCTTCACTGTTAGAGGTGGGTGATACGGCATCATTATATCACAAAACATTTTCTTGATACACAACACACATCACCATATTTCCTTTTCTGATATTTTATAAGTCGGAAAAAATCTCCAGCAATGCCACATTCAAAAATACTATCAAAATTATTAAATGGAAAATTATACTATGTAATTATCCAGTTACAGCAAATTCTTGACAAAGGTGATCAATTCTGGATATTACTTTTAATACAACATTTTTTCTGTATGTTATGTTAATTTTATCAAAACTTCATTCCGGATGTTGATTTTATTAGAACTTCATTCCCGGCGTTAATTCTATTGGAACTTCTGTCGGAATGTTAATTTTATTAGAACTTTATTCTTAATGTTCTACAGTTTCCTCAATTGTTTTAGAATCATGTACAGTTCTGTTCATCATTCTAGACAAGTCTATGATTTCTTTTAACCTTATAGCCTTATAATAATTTGAAACCTCTAAAGTTGTAGAATATTAGCACCACATGAGGATCACTTTATACATGTACCTGTAAAATAACTGGTTTTGTATGATGATAAACAGGGAGTGTGTAAATTCATACAGTACTGTATATCAAACGGTTTCCTGATAAATCAGAAAGTGCATATCGCCCTCCAGTGGTAAGACGTCTGAAATACAGACTACACAAAGCAGAAATCACTGTTTCAACAGTCAATGACTACATTAAACTGGAAAAGCCTCACATGAAGTGACTATCAGTTAGAAATCAGACACATGAAGCAGTAAAACTCCTGCATTCACCAATCTGTACACTCTGCCCATCGAAAGATAAAGGACACCAAGATTTTCAAAACGGGTTCAATAAAATGAGCATGTTTTCTCTGCCTGTTTTGAATAAACCGAAGCAATAGCGATAGAAGCCCTGCCTGAAGTCCACATATTTTCTCTCCTTGTTGTGATGTCAGAACCTTTGGGCTTAAAGAGTTTATAACAAGTGTTTGGGAAAAAAAATGTTCAAGTCATTATTTAAAACCTGTTCTTCATACCAAGAAAGATACTTTCATAAACATGAATCTGAGTGTTGAAGATAAATACACACAAAGCATCAATTCAGAAATGAATTACATTCTCATTTCAAAAAAAGGAGGAGACACTGCTGTAGTTTTGAAAGTGAAATGTTTTCCATTTTTGTTTAACATACGATTTCAGCTGCTTGACAGTTCAGGGTCTCCTTTGATGTATTTTTCATTTCATACTGTAGCAAATGTTATCAGTGGTGACAGGTCTGGACTGCAGGCAGGTCAGTTTAGCACCCAGACCCTTTTAATACGGAGCCATGCTGCTGTAATACATGCAGAATGGGCCCAAAGATCATGGCCAGCGAATACTGTTTTTTTGGCCTTGTCCCTTACATACAGACTATTTTCCTTATCTAATTGAAAAGTGATAGTGAACACACACACAAATACGCACATACAGCACAAGAGAAAGACAAAGAGACAAAGAGAGAGAGAGAGAGAGAGAGAGAGAGAGAGAGAGAAAGAGAGAGAGAACGTTACTGAATGAGAGGAAATGAGGTTTAATCAGCAGTCAGACTGACGGTCAGTGCAGTCAGAGTTATCTGGAGTGTATAGTGTTTCTCAGAACGGTGAATAATTCAGATGTGATCTGAGGGCCTACAGTGAACTGGTGCTCACTTCAATGAACATGAACAACATCAGGCCGAAAACTGTGGGAACTGAAACACTGCAGAAGTTTACAGAGATTCAGATTCTGAATAACACAGATTATTTTATGTTCCACTTTAATATTTGAAGAGAATCCCTGAAGAGATTTACTCAGCTCACTTCAGGCAAAAAAAAACAAAAAAAACAAGACCAAAATTGACTTTGTGTTATGACTGGACTGCTCAGCCGGTCAGCCTGTGAGCCTATGTTACTTAATGACTGACTGAATAACTGAGTGAATGATCAAGTGAGTGACTGAGTGACCGATTAACTGACGAAGTGCATGACTGAGTGACTGACTGACTGTGTGTGACTGACCAACTGAATGACTGACTGTGACTGACCGACTGACTGTCCGACTGGGTGTGTGACTGACCAGCTGTGCGTGACTGAGTATGTGACTGACCGACTGACTGACTGACTGACCGACTGAGTAACTGTGTGAGTGACCGAGTGACTGACTGAGAGACTGAATGACTTTGAATGAGTGACTGACAGTGCCTCACTGACTGAGTGACCCTCATAGTTTAGAGACCAAGTGTGTGAATGATTGAGTGACCAAGTGACTGACTGACCAAGTGAGTGACTAACTAACTGATCAACTGAGTGACTGATTGAGTGAATAAGTGATTGACAGACTGAGCAAGTGTTTGTGTGAGTGACCGAGGGACTGACTGATTGACCGAGTAACTGAGTGACCAAGTAACTGAGTGTGTGATTGACCAAGTGACAAAGTGATCGGATGAATGACTGACAGACCAAGTGACCGAGTGAGTGACTGACTGACAGAGACTGAATGACTTTGAATGAGTGACTGACTGAGTGCCTCACTGACTGAGTGACCCTCATAGTTCAGAGACGTCGGTGTAGCACAGCGGGCAGTGGCTCATTAGACGAGGGCTGAAGTCACTGTCCCACTTCACTGCTGCTCACCAAACCTCTGAGCACACCACTGGACCAGACGAGTCTGAGAGGACACTGAGTCAAACAGTGATAATTCTAAAAACAGCCATATCAAATTGTATCCTACATCCTGTATCAGACACACTACCGTGACAAAGCAGCTGACGGTGCTCCAGTAACACCAGGCTTGTCTCGTCTTGTCCAGAATAAGGCTATTATGCTCAAACTGCTCAACAGGCTCTCCTACCAACAGGAAGAAGCCCACAGCTAACGTCACATCTCAGTCACATCTACTATCAGATCTGACATGCCTGGTATCAGATTTATAACCCAAAGTATTTCTTCAAATTTTGCAATCCGCAACTTCAGAAATCTGACGGAAAAGCTGCTGATACCTGAGGGCCGTGCACCGCTCTGAAATTCCATCCCTAAATCTCTAACTTCCTTTCTGCTGAGTGTGCACGGTAAACAAACCCACCAGCAGCTCTAAACACAGAGCTGAGCATTATTACAGACCGAAGTGGAGTTAGAAGAAGGTAGAAGCTGTTTACGGAGGAGTCGTTAGGTAATTCTGTTCACTACCTGCCCACCGACTCCACTTTCCTCAGTCAAATTTGTTGTTAGAATTTGCAGGATATTATTCAAAACAATCAAAAATCTTCAGAAAATTCAATACAAAAAAAGAAATTCAGGCAGGTGACACGACAGCTGAAAACCCGCTCCTAATTTACTATGACTTCAAACTATCATGACTATTTTAAAATATTTAAATTCCAACTGATCCATACTTTAAATTCCCAAACCTGTAGCATGAAGAGTCAAACATCAAATATTTAAGCAATAGAACGTGAGAGGGAGTGCGTAATCACGAAATCACGGCTGTGATTTGGTCACCGCAGATCATCACAGCCCTGATGTTATTGGCGATAACACACTCCTCGGGTGTTCTATT